ATCATGCAACCTCCCTGATAGACAGAGGGAATGCTGTAGACATAAAATATCTTGACTTCAGCAAAGCTTTTGACAAAGTGCCCCATGATATTCTGATTAGCAAGCTAACCAGGTGTGGGCTGGATAGATCAAGTGTCAGGTGGATACACAATTGGCTACAGAATTGTACTCAGAGGGTGATGATTAATGGGTCTCTTCTCTAAGTGGGAGGAGGAAACAAGTGGTGTACCCCAAGGCTCAGTCCTGGGCCTGGTGCTCTTCAATATTTTTATTCAAATGACTTGGATGAGGAAGTGCAGGGAATGCTTGTCAGATTTGCAAATGATACAAAATTGGGTGGAACAGCTAATAACCTAGAAGACAGAAACAAAATTCATAATGACCTTGATAGGATGGAGCACTGGGCTGAAAGCAACAGAATGAAATTCAACAGGGCTAACTGCAAAGTACTGTACCTCAGAAAAGGAAACCAATTGCACAGTTACAAGATGGGGAATACTGGCTCAGCAAAACAATGAGTGAGAAGGATCATGGAATTGTCGTAGATGACAAGCTAAATATGAGCCAACTGTGTGATGTGACTACAAAAAAAGACAAATGCTCTTTTAGGCCGCATTAATAACAAGTATAGTTTCCAAATCCCGTGAGGTGTTAGTCTCCCTCTATTTAGCACCTGGTTAGGCCTCACCTTGAGTATTGTGCCCAGTTCTGGACACCACACTTCAAGAAGGATCCTGACAAATTGGAACAAGTCCAGAGGAGGGTGACAAGGATGATCAGGAGTTGAAAACCAAGCCTTATGAGGAAAGGCGGAAAGAATTGGGCATATTTAGCCTTGAGAAAAGACGACTGAGGGATGATATGATAGCACTTTCCAAATACTTGAAAGGCTTTCATAAAGAGGAGGGGCAAGATCTCTTCTCAAAAATCCCAGAGTGCAGGACACGCAACAATGGGTTCAAGTTAAAGGAAGCCAGATTTCAGTTGAATATCAGGAAAACCTTCCTAACTGTCAGATCAGTATGACAGGGGAACCAGTTAGCTCAGGAGTTAGTGAGTGCTCCAACACTGGAGGATTCAAGAAAAACATAGATAATCACCTGGCAGATATTCTATGATTGTATTCCTGCATTGAGCAGAGAGTTGGACTTGATGGCCTTGTAGGCCCCTTCCAACTTCACTTTTGCAAGAGGGTTCTTGCCATTAGAGATTGTATTCCTGCATTGAGCAGGGGGTTCTTGCCATTAGATTAGGGCCTGTCTGCAAAATACTGTGGCAGAAATTAAAGTCAATTCAAGTCATACAGTCTCTAGTAAGCTACTGCTTCCACCCAGTAACAGAAATAATCTGTTTTGCATTTTGGCAGGTTATTTTCATAGCTCATACGGTGCAAGTAAATTGCAGGAAAGTGTTGTGTAGGTGTCCTACCACCTCAAAACAGTAATGCTAGCTGTCCAGCAAGTTGCCATTTGTGAAGCCCTGGCATATATTAACTGCACATTTTTAATTATTAAATTTATAAGTGCCTGAACTATCTGCATTTAATCACCATACCAGGTATAAGATTCTGTATTTTTCCTAAATAAAAGATTCAATATATTTCACAGTAGACCTTTGGTCTAGATGGGTGGGTTATAAATCTATTTTTTTAAAAAAAGTAATTGGTATCACTATTGGAATATAGTAAGTAAAGACTAAAGGCTAAGAGATCTGATCTGGTTTCATAAAAGTAGATTCAAGATAGACAACATGGTAATAGGTAATTATTTATATGGTATAAAGTTAGTTTTTTCTTCAGCTCCTTCCTGTAATTTTTGCATAGCATAAGGAACAATTTCACAATGTGTTTTTCCTTAACTTGTTTTAACATTTAGAAAAAAATGTGAAGTGCATATACAGTATTTGAAAGATTAATTGATCATCATCAGATCCTACGTTTTGAGGAAATTAAGGTTGAAGGGGGCTAAGCCCCAGCTCTTTCATATTGTTCAGTTCAGACCATAGAGAAAGTTTTGCTAGGACAGAAACCAAAAACAGTGTTTGAGTTAATAATAACTGGCATGATATGTTTGGGGGAATGACAGAGCAAATTTATTCATTTAGACTTGGACACCATTCCTTTAAGTTAGAAGAGAAAATGGAGAAAGGTTTAGTTTCTGTAGATTAGTTTAACAAAATGGAAACAGATTTTGGAAATGTCTATTCAAAACTGATTTCAATCAATAGTGAGAGACATAGTTTTTGAAAGATATATGATGCATTTTAATTAACATCTGACTCTGTGGAGATCTGACTTGCTTCGCCATTTGGATGTTTCAAGCCTAGCTGGACCAGATCACCACATCACTAAAACATGACAAATCAAAAAAGACAACAATTAACATTAGAAAGAGGGCAGCTTCTGTTGTATCCCCCACCCCACCCCACCCCTATGCTCCCTCTGTGATCACAACTTTCCTCATTCCACACATGTGGAATGTCTTCTGGAGAGAAGCAGGTCTCAACATTTCAAGCAATATAGTTCTTTCTGGAGAGTTGGCCCATGATGGTTAACCTTTCCTGCACATTTCCCAGTTCTATGATACTATTTTTAAGATTCAAAAATGAAAATTGTACACAATGTTTCAAGTATTATTACTTAGCTACTATATACAGTATTCAAAAGAACGTTCAAAGTTTTGTTAGAGTCATGTTAGTCTGTTTCAGCGTAGATAAACAAATTAATAAACAGAAGTGTTGCAATGTCTTTAAAATTAGATTAGTTTCAGTGTGAGTTTTCATGGATCATAATTTACATCTTCAGAAGCACGTATTCCAAGTATAATCACAACACAGTATTGAATGGAGGCACTATAACACTGACAGCTTTATTTGCAGTCCATTTCCTAGTGATATGTAACATGGAAATGACTCATTCATTCATAAAATAAATTAGAATATGGAACAGCACTTCCACATCTTCTAGTCCTTGATCCAAAAATGATTGCTAGACCAAGGCACTTACATGATTGAAGAAATTACCTGCTCTCCATCCATTCTGTTAATACAAAAATAATTCCTAGTTATATCTGTATAGACTAAATATTTTTAAAGGAAATAAAAGGAGCAGACAGCTTCCTTCCTGCTTGAATCACAAACTGTTTCCTCCCTCCATCTGTTGCACATCCACTGTTCTAATCTCACCAATGCTACACGGAAGTGTGTGCACTGGCTTTACAGTCACATAGATAAAATAAATTTCACAGAATATTTTTATAAAATCTGGCTCAACTCCATACATTATTTTACATTTTACCAACTGTCCGCAACATTGAAATGTTCTAAGATAGCAGCACTGGGTTTTGTTTCTTTTCCATAAGAGCTCTGATTTGAGACTGAAGGCAGAAAGCCCTTATGTACACACATACTGTACACACGTAGCATAAGCAGAAGAACAGGCAAAGCTGATAGTTCTGCTACCCAGATCCAGAAAAGACTGAGATAAAAAAAACACACAAGGATAGAAATTAAAGTTTCTCATATTTGAGATTCCCTTTAGGCAAAACCAGAGATTTCCCCACATTGTGAAGATTTCACACAGTTTATTATATTTGATATTTAAGCAGATTTAAAGAAATGTGGCATATAACTTTGTATACTCAGTCCATAAATGTATTAATCCATTCGTATTTGGACAAGTGCCCCTTGGTTAGAGGTATTCTGTAAACTGCTATGTAGAAGGTATGATGAGAGTGGGTTGTTAGTTCAAGAGGGTTAATAATCAATGTTGCTCAATGTTATACTCTGTTTCTCCAAAAATAAGACCTAACCTGAAACTAAGCCCTAGTATGATTTTTCAGGATGCTCGTAATATAAGCCCTACCCCCAAAAAAGCCCTAGTTAAGTGAAACCCCGCCGTCCAAAATTGTGCAGCGAACAGAAGATGATTACATGACTGTATTTGAATAAATGTAGATTGTTGTACATGAAAAAAATAAATAAAACATCCCTGAAAATAAGCCCTAATGCATTTTTGGAGCAAAATTTAATATAACACCCTGTCTTATTTCTGGGGAAACAGGGTAGCTCAAAACTATTGAGAAAGAGGGAGGAGGTGGGGGAAGCACCTTTCACCGGCCAGTATCCTACTGAGCTTTGCCAAAGAGAAAAGTCCCACCAGTGCAGTAATATGGGATTGTACCACTTTCGCAAGCATATTGTGTAGGTGGAAGACAAGTCTTCTCCATGGTGCTTACACAAACAGCATTATACCATGTTCCTTCACTGGTGGGACTTTCCAATTCATGGAAGCTCAATAGGGAACAGGCCACTGTACACAGAACGCAAGATTTTGTGTCATGGGATATCGCGAAGCTGAGAGTTCAGTAGGCTGTTCTTTTTAAAGGGGTGTCTACGAAAATTCACAAAGAAGACAGCAAGGAACTTTCAAATGTAATCACAGTTATCAAACAAACTTTGTTACATCTCACAGTTCCCTTTGTATTGAAACCAAAGACACAGATATGACAAATATATCTCATCCTGGCCTCTAGAAGCCTGGAACAGGAAATGAAGGAAAAGCAATGTGTCTGATGAAGCTAAAGATATATCATTCTTCCACCATGACCCTATGTTTCTTGGGTTTTAGCAATATTTATTTTCAGGATGGTATAAACACATTCTGATCTAGCCTTTCCCTTTGGCACTCTTCGTGACCTGGTGCATTTCCCTTGTTAATGATTTGTTTTATATCATCAACAAGCTACTTAGCTGTTTCTGTAGGAAGGTCCAGATCTGAAACTGAAACTTATGAGCAAGTCAAAGGCAAAAATTGAACAAAAATGTGTTTCTTTGTTAAGACTTTGTTTTACACCAACAACAAGCCATTGATTTGTTTCTTTAAGAAAAGCAAAATATCCTCTCTCTCTTTTTTTATGGAAAGTAAATAAACAGGTCAAAGAGAACATTTTAACAAAAATGCTATCCCTTGGTACTGGTCTGTTTAGTGTTCAGCATTTTACCTTGTATAGTGACATAGGCTGAAGACTCCACTGTCCCTTTCAGGTTAGAAGCTACACATTGGTAGTGGCCTGCATCATCCTCTTGTACTCTTTCAATCAACAAACTCTGGCTCCCTGGCCCCAATATTATACCTAAGAAATGAGAAATATTTCAAATGAAGTGGAACAGTGAATAAACTTGAAGGTTTGCTTCTCAAAAGAGAATCCCTTCTAAAGGGAGTTTGAAATCCAGAGGCATCAAAAACAATGTGGTATAACCTGCAAGGGAAGTAAGTTGCAAATATTAGCTTTTCTACTCTCTCTTATATTGAATTATGAAAAATGTTTATTTAATTGACTGTAATGAGTGGAAGACGCATGCTTGATGGTTTCTGATGGGTGGTGCCTACTACTTATCCCATGCTTATTCACTTTGGTGGCTAAAGGTAAACACTACTTGGAACGGGGGTATAGTCAGCAGTGGAGACAGACACTTGGAAGTTCTGCAGTTAGGCTTCATTGTCTCTTTTGAACAACCCAGTGTCAAGTTATATGGTAAATAAACAAATATGACATCAATAGTGCAAGACCAGCATTGCGACTTCACAAGCAAGCTGACCTTGGGGTAGAAACTTTTCAAGCCTCCAGTGTTTCCAGCTGACTACTCCCTTAATACCTTAGCATTGGCCAGGCCAAGCTGAGACTTTTGAAAGCCAAGGAGCAAAACGTCTGGAGCAGTGGTTCCCAACCTTGGGTCCCAAGGTTAAAAACCCCCAGAAGTCTTCACCACTAATAGTGCTGGCCAAGAATTCTGAGAGTCGTGGTCCAAGAACATCTGAGGACCGAAGGTTGGAACCCACTGATCTGGAGGGTTTGGGCCCGTTGTAAAGAACATCTAATTGCCTAGGAAATCTGGAAGGGTGTAAGAGTACAAAATGTACATGTTCCAGCAGGAAAGTCCTGATTAAGAGGTGGGGTATGGGTGGTAACCATGAGAGTTATAGAAGCTGGTGAATTCCTTTTACTGAAAGGTTCTTCAGACGTGTGACGCCAAGAATATACTATGTCTAAACATCCTTGAAGTACATTTAAGTCACTTCCAGATGGCAGTTCCTCCAGTGATTGGAGGAATGCCAACAAGGAAGTGGAACAGGAAGTACCTCAACATTTGTTCTCTGCAAGCCACCCTGGAAAAACTGTCTTTGCAGGGTGGGGTAAAAAAACCTTCTAAATAAAAATAAATAAGATGTCCTTTTCTTTTCCTTTGAGCTTGGAGATTTGAAGTGACAAAGCCTGGGCAATAGGTGGAATTCAAAGTTGACTCTACCAAAAGCTGCAAAGTGAAACAGTTAGTTCTGATGGCTTACTTTGAATACTATTTCAAGACAGAGTTTGGAAAATAGTTACAAAAAACAAATTACTTGCAATTAGTTCATTTTTGCAATAATTAAGTCATAATTATTGTAACATAACAAGAGACAACTTCTTCCTTTTATAAGGTTGTTGCAACTATTTTTGTAACTTTTCTAGTTGCAGAGAGTCTGTGGCCTCACTACTTAGGTGCGTTTTGTACCACAGGGTGGGGACTTGTAGCAGTGTGATGTGTTTTCTTCCATAACAGCTATTCTGAGTAAGTCCACTTGCAGTTCAAAAATATAGGGCAAGCACACATGCTCCGCTATAGGAAGTATTGATTCAGGAACAATGTCAGGATCACAGTATATGCTATCGAGAAAGAAATGAAGGCAAGTGTTAACACTCACCTGGTTCTTGCTGTATCTGTTCGTTGTTTTTATACCAGGATATCTGAGGTTCTGGCACACCATAGACATGACACTCCAGACTAACAGAGTGACTGGTATTGATGACTTGATCAGTGAGATTCCGAAGCAGGTACGGTGCTTCCTGAGCTACAAAACACATTGATATATCAGTTAGTATGTTCCTGTAGCTATTAGGGGCTTATGTATTTTTAATCACTGGACCTGTGCTCCCCCAAATAGATTTCTCAGTTCAATACAAGGAACTGTTGCCATGTTGGCCTAAGAAAAGAAGAGATACGGAGCAGATGATTTTTATTTTATTTTATTTTATTTATGCTATTTGTTTGTATCCCTCCTGAAGGGATGTGTGTTGATCCTGAGCATGTTTTTTTCACCAAGCATTTGAAAAGAGAATAGCCTGAATTGATCTTTACATTAGATAATCTATTGTAGCCACTAATCAAGGTGTAATAAAATAATAAAGAACACGTCACACAGTAGCTAAGTTAGCAAGATTTTGTTGGTGCTTTCCTTAAAATTTAAAGGTAATGTAATGTCTATTTTTATACCTATGTGGAAAAAGGTGCTGCAGTTATGGAAAGAATTATGCTAGCATAATTTAAACTAATGTTTAAGCTCTCCCTTTGTATTGCGGACACACTATGACTTATTACTTATCGTGTACATTTGTAAATAGCATAAAAACAATCAATATTTCAAAAATCATAAATATTAGTAGACCTTTGGGAATTTGGCCTTTTGGGTGACTGAATACCAAAGAACCATGACATAGAAACAGGTTAATCTGACATGTAGATGATGTTTATTCTGTTTGATAAATTTTGTACCATGTACATTTCTCTGATTTTTAAAATTCCTCTGAGCCATACAGCTGGCCTAAATTTTCTCAGTCAAACTAAAGTGCATGACACAAAATAATAGGCTTACGTTTCAGGAAGCCAGACTCTGGTTGAATATCAGGAAAAACCTCTTGATTGTTAGAGTAGTATGACAACAAGATCAATTATCTTATGAGGAGGTGAGTGCTCAAACACCGGAGGCATTCAAGATTAGACAACCATGTGTCAGGTCTATTTTGATTGGGATTCCTGTACTGAGCAGGGGTTTGGACTTGATGGCCTTGTAGGCCCTCTCAAAACCATTATTCTATGATTCTATGAAATGTGATTTGAATAAAAAGTCATCCAGCATGTTCTGGAACACACATCCAAGTTTCTCAATTCTGTACAATATAAACCAAATATATACTCAAACTGATTTCTAGGTTTCCTCTCCACCTCTGATAAAACATGATAATGTTTGCTACTTTGAATACACATACAGTATTCCCCAGACAACCATGTGGGGCAATTTAAATCAGCACTCCCAAAACACAACATCATCGTCTGTTTCAAATGTTCCCTTCACCTCACTCAACTTTGCTTTTCATTCACAGACTGCTACTTTCCCAAGCAATTTTGAAGTGCTTAATTGTGTTTCACTCTGACACAATCAGTTTTCACTTAGATTTTCTGTTCACTGTTGTAAATAATCTCAGAAAGCTTTCTTGTTGCATCCAAGAGACTTTGCTTCCCGAGAAAGAGCAAACAGCATCCCAAGCCCTTCTCAAGTCAAAGCCCATAGTACCTAGTCCAGTTATTGACACAAGCAGAAGCAGAAAATGCCACAAGTACTTCCTGGCAGCAGCAACAACATGTGACAATTTGCTGCCTTCTCATGACACAGACATCTACCCCCTGAGCCAGCTCTTCACTCTGCCCAATGGTAGGGTCACTGGACTGCTGTGGAGCCAGAGGTGGGAGTTTGATTCCCACTGTGTGGCACCTGGAAGAAGAGACAGCATATGTAGTCTGAGGCAAGCTGCACAGTCCTAGGATGCCCTCAGAAAAAGGAAATGGTGAACCACTTCTGAGTATTCTGCAACTAGAAAACCTTGAAAGGGTTATCCTATCCTAGTATCAACTTGACAGCACATAATTATTATTCATTAGTAATGGTAGGGTCAGTCAAGGTTGCTCATGTGACTGTGAATTCCTGACACACTCCTTAGGAATGAAAAAGCTGCATATATTTTTGAAATGTTCAGCTTGGCTGCATTTATTCCACTCTTCAGATGCTCCTTCTAGAAAGCTTCCAGAAAGAGTGTTCACTGTGACAATAAGAAATACTTATTTGTAGGATAAAATGCTTATCAGATTGGCAGTAATGTCTTCAAATGTGGTGGGATCAAAACCAACAATTTGCTGTTATGCTGGCTATGTTCTTTCTTCGCAGGACAACCAGACCCTTACAAAGAACAGATGGGTCTGTCATCAACTACGGCAACTCAATTAATTGAGAAAAGAAAATTTTTGTAAATTTCCTTGGGTTGTTTTATATATGGCCTCTTAAAAGCAAATGAAAAAAGTTTCTAAATCATCCCAAGTACTTAGAGGAATCTCTATCGAACCTTGCATCACCTCTGTTGTATCTGACTAGACTATCACTACTTGGTTTGTCATAATCAGCAGCTTCTACAGAATACATCTTGGCAACTTAGCATGAAGAACCCTTGTATTTTCTTCTTTACAATGACTTACAATCCACAGTAAATGTGGGACCTTTATTTAGTTGTCTTTTCTTCCAAATTAGCTGCCTATGAAGGCATGATATTTAAAACTACATCTTCTTCCAGAAGTTGGTGATGAATATTACCATTTGTTGGAGTTTTGTGTTCAGTATGATTACTACAGAGGATATGACAACCAAATCATTTGAGACAAGCAAGGAACTCACTGGGGAAAAACAGAGGTCACACAATCTCTATATTATTTCTGATTAATTTTAATTTGTTTATAGCCATACACATTTATTCCATATTAAGAAACACTTTCTATCTTTAAAATCTTAGTTGCATCACTTTTCAGACAAAAGTCATCACCATAAGTAGCTGATTTGTGAAATACTTGGTTAAAGCAAGAAATTATTGATTTCCTTGTTTCTATAACTGTGTTTCACAAACTCATGAGGCAGGAACTTTCCCCAAGCCCTTCTAAATGGCTTAATTCTTTTTCATCTGACATGGCTAGATAGCTCTGATTTCCGCTGGAACAAATGTTTGTCCAGTTCAACAAGCAACCAACAGTGAACTTCTGTGTAATTCTCAGGTAGAACAAACATTTGTTACAGATTGTAACCTGACTACAGAAACATGAGGGGATCTACAAAAATGGTAGGAAATACCTCTGCTACAGAACTATTGTTAATCCTAGGCCTTCATTAGCAAAACAGAGAAGAAAATTAACCCTGAGACAGAAAAGAACCCCGCATAAATGTGACCAAATAAATGTTAAATATCTCTAGATTGTCTTTGTTGCATAGCGTTTTTAATTTAACACTTGTATCGCTTTATAAGGAAACTTATATTATCCATTCAATTACCAATTATGTCGGTAAAACACACACCTGAACTTTAATAAACAGTTTAAAACAAAAGAAATACAAACGTAAGTTGCAATTATTATTCTCCATGTCATATACTGGAATGAAAAATCATCCAGTAGAAAACAAAATTAATCCCTTTCCAGAACATGTGCAGTAACATTGGCAGTGAGATCTATGCGTGAGTCACAATGGAAAAGAGCCTTATCCAAATAAGACCTTTACTTTACATAATAGTTCCTTCATACATCCCTCTTGCTGTGCTTCTTTCATACATTCCAATATGGCAGCAATATAGAATTGCAGTTCATGACTAATTGAACATTTGGCCAACTCCAAGTGATGAACTGGCCAATAGACACTCCTTCTCCTAGATCTGCTATGAGGGGGTCATTTAATTAATACCATAGGTATGGTGTTCTAATCTCCACAGCTTGTGCATTTGTTTTTTCCCCCAGTTTATCTTATGGATCAAGTCCAGAATCAGCACTTGGTTGACCGAATTTTACAAGCTGTAACTCTTTTGTATAACAAACAAAAAATAAAACCATATAAATTTAGTTTTCCAGGAACTGGTAATTCAATCAAGGGATGTCACTGCTGTTCACATCTTCCCACAAAATACTATTTTTCATGTATAAACTCTATAGAGAGGAGTCTTTTTCCCGTTGCCCCCCAGAATACATAACAAAGTAAGCTTTGCTGTCACTAGAATGAAATTACCAATAATTGGATTGGCTTTGTAACCATATGATAAATAGCCAAAAAAAGAACATGAATTGTTTTGGGAAGCCATCATGGTAATAATATATATACAATTTTTTTTAAAAAAACTTTAAAAAAATCTACTGTATAGAAAACAAACTATAGGTGAAATTTCAAGAACAGTCATTCTTTTCTTCACCCTGACAACTTCCAGGTAGCTAATTGTTTTCAAAGCATTTTAGTCTCCATAAAACTGGCATGATGGGGAAATGCTATTGTTTACTCTTTCACACTTGACAAAAGCAATTCCCACGTGAACGACAAGTTTGGCTGGGGGACACGGTTCTGCTACCTTAGAGAAGGAAATGGGTGGGAGAGTTCTCAGGCACAAGAAATTGTCATGTTGTCACCCTCTGTTTTAATAGCAAAGCCACTTTTGTTCCCATTTTTGCTCTTGCTATTGTGATCCTCACATGCTTGGCTAAACTTTCTATATCATAATTAATCATAAATGAACACTCCTCCAAAATATAATAAACATACACATTGTAAAAAAATAAAGTTATCAGATCTATTAAAAATAGTAACGTCTTTCTTATACAGAATTTATAATACACAGAAACACCTTGAAATAAAATCACAAAAGAGAATGACAAGAAACGCTTGAAAGTAATGATAAATTACTTCTCCATCAGTAGTTTAGTCGCTTTAAAATTCCCTGTTCAAACCTGTTTTCATTTTCATATGAAAACAAATGGTGCATATATGTGTATATATACACTTACATGTGCACATAATTTCACACAAATAGCCTTGTTTTTTATATTTAAATGTATTAAACATTTTTCTAGGATGACTGAAACTTTGCAATAAAGGGAAAATGCAGTGATTTTTTTATTATTTATTTATTAAGATAGTTACACTTCTCTGCCTTAATGACAGAGAAGAGACTTCCCATTGCTGTCAACACATTTTTATGAGAACCAAACAAAAGATCATTAGGAAAAGACCCTCAATTTATTCTTCAAAAAAAGAGGGTCCAGCTTTGATGGGTTTGAATATTCTAATGATACAAAAATCCAAGAGAGCTGTGCCTTATTGCAATGTGTTTATTTCTCATTCTGCATCCTCAGAGACTTCCCTGAGAAGTTTATTTTTTAAAAAAATGAATATATTTAGTGTAGAAAAATGATTTCAAATAAATAAGCATAAGAACTTGCTCAGCAGGCAATATTTATAAATCCACAAAGAGCAGATCAAAATTAAACAAAAATAGTCCAGTCATTCTCGCAAACTGAGCTGTGCTTATTCTGCACTTTAAAGTTAACTTATTGAATGTCCAATGTTGACAAAAGCCAGAAGTTTTTCTGTGTTTTTTTAAGTGTTCAGTTTATGCAGCTTTGACACTTGGGAGGAGGTTGAATATCAAAGCCGAAGAGAAGGTGGGTCCAAAGTTTCTCATTAGCACTTGGTGGGAGACTGCAAAGAACAATACAACATAACACACAAAAGGCAATGCAGGGGGTGGGGAAATCTTCCAAATCCCAACTTCCACATCTTTGTCAAAGCAGAATACATCTTTCTGAGCCAAATTGGAAGCCCAGGTCTGGGGATTTGTTGTTTACTTTTTTCCTCTTTTGGAGGGTTTCATTTTTGCATTGCTACACCTTCTTTGTCCAAACCTCTCATATTTGACAGTATACAGTAGTAATCAATCAAGATTATATGAGAGAACTGTCACATTTTAGTGAGTCCTTTAGTGGTTTATATTGTGTTGTGTTGTACAATCATTCCTTGCGCTCTTAAATTTGCGGATCCGTGAGAAAAGAGCCTTTTTGTTACAGTGCTCACCTCTGACTGTAACGTCTTTCTCTTGACGCACATCTTCACCAGTGTACATGTTCCTTGCTCGGCAAGCGTAGGTGCCTGAATGTTCAAGTGTGACGTTTTTGATGATGAGGGTGAGGTCAATGGAGTACTCCTTTGTGGCTGGCTTTTTTATTCTGCTTTGGTTAACTGTCCTTGGCAATATCCAGGTGATGTCTTTGTACAGAAGTTTGTTGGCTAAACAGGACAATACTAGGGTTTCTCCTTCCACTGGTGTTTTCTTTAAGTTAATATGGAATCCATTGGGCACATCTGTTAAAAAGAAGGAACATACTTTTTATTCATAGGAAATTAAGGAATATAATTTCAAGGGCACAACCCAGACATCTTTCCCATTATACCAAGATCTTATGTAGTATCCTAGGGGCACACATACTTGTTGAAGCCAGTATATTTGTGTCTGGGACTGGGTTTGGTGATGAATGCCTAGGTAGGAAACAGGCTTCAAGTTCACTTGCTCTCTATATAGTTGAACATTATGGTGGAAGAAACGTGGGATAAGACATAAATGTTACTGCAGTTTGAGCGTATCAGTTCACAACAATAGCCAGAATGTTATTGGTATTCTCAAATTGTCTGCTACAGCTAATTATGTAGAATTGGTGAGGTCAAACCTTGTTACACAGTCAATTGTGCAAACGAGATGTCAGCTAGTCACAATTAGTTATGACAAGTTTCAGAAACCTTTCCAAGTCATCATTAGGTTTTTAGCCAATATTAAGCAAATCTTGAAATGTTACAAAGAAGGTTAAAGAAGAGGGATCCCAGAAAAGGAGGCAGTGGCATCTTCCATCAGCAGAATTCTTCCACCAGCAGATGCAGATCTAGCCCATTACATTTATTATTTATTATTATTCCATATTCATTGGTACTGAATAAGAAATTTATTGGCTAAATACAAGCAAGACAAACTCCACCTATTATGTTGATAAAGTAACATCTCTCATGAGGGATGGGTAAGCCCAGTTGACTTCAGAGACATTTTTCACCCCCAGAGTGTGGGAGTAAAAAGTGAAGACACGCAGAAAAAGATTAATTTGCACACTTATTTTTTTAAAAAAATTATGGTGTAGTTATATATTGTAAAAGTCTCTAAAGTGGGTTTTAAATATTATTTATGTACTAAGTAAATTTTTATTTATTATTTATTTATTTATTGGATTTCTATCCCACCCATCTAGACCAAAGGTCCACTCTGGGTGGTTGGTCACAGTTTTTTGGTCACAGTTCTGTGTCACTGTATCTGTGGCTAGAATTGTAATCAGAGTATGGAAAACTTTGAAATTTGATGCAATATCAGATTTTCTGATTTTGATCGCAGAAATGTATCCTCACTGGAGGATACATTTATTTGCATTCACTGAACACTCTTAATGTAAACTTTGTTAAATTCTGCTGCACGCATCCTGTGTCAGAAACTATTAAATGAAAATTCTTACTAATGCCAAATATTGTAAAATATTCATTTTTGTGTTTTATAATGTAAACTGAACCAAAACTTGATATACTGAAGGGTAGTATAAAATTGTTTTAAATAAATAAATAAATAAATATCTCCTGATATTATCCTAGGGTTAAGTAGTATTGGCCAGAGTTCTATTACTTCTATACAGAAGTGCAAGTTAAACAGTGTACATCTCATCAGCAAATTGCCTCCAGTTGATACTTATACTCCTCCATTGCGCACTAAGTCACATGACTAGTGCACGATAAGAAATTCATTCTTTAACTCCTTAACCTGCAGCAATTGTCATTGACTGTCAGCTATTCAATATTGTAAATAATTAACTTCTATGTTAAATTTATTTTTATCTCTTGACCACTGTTACATAACAGGTGACATAATATAAAAAATCATGTAACAGTGCAGGATCTTCTGATGTTACGTGATGTGATGTTGAATACAAAATATTCAGAAAATATTTTAAACATATTTGCACATGCAGGGAATCTTCACCTTCAAAAGTGGATTTCTGAAGATAATGTATATAAGTGTGCACTGCGTACACATCTAATTCTGGCCTTCAATATGCCTTTCCAGTGTCCACATGTAGATTATATCACTCCATCATTGAGCTCCTCTCTCCCACATTTTAAATGTCACAACTGAAGGAGTCACCTCAAAACGTTATACAGAGAATGTTATGCCTTTTTAATTGGTCTAATAAATATATCATCGTAATGTCTCATTTGAAGTGTTATGATTATTTTCTATCTAGTACTTTTTTTATCTGTAAAAACTGGCTGATTTTGGAGGAAGGAAAAGAAAAGAAACCCTATCAAAGGTTTTTTTTTAAAGAGAACTGATTTGCAACACCTTGTAAGCTGTTAAAGTCTGAGGCAAGTTGGATATTGAAGGGCTGGAGTAATGTAAAAGAGTTTTATTTACTTTACTGATTTGAAACTTCCTGTGGAAATAGCTCCCAGGTTTCCTGATGGAAGATTTTGTTTATCTTTGCCAAGCACCACCAGGAATCTCAAAATAAAATGCCTTTAGTGACAGTGGCCAGCCAGGAGATAAGGCTACGCTGTTCCTGTCTCACCCTCAGTAATTACAAACACACCCATGGGCCTGCTGTGTGCCAGCAAAGCAGCCAAAAAGCAGGGGAAGGATTAAGCTGAAGAGGAGGGGCTCTGTGAAAGATACAGAATGAATTAATTTGGCATTCAAAGATAATGAAGGAGATGGGAAACACTCAGTATCATCAGAGTCCTCAAAAAAGTAATACACCATACCGAAAAACTCATCATCAATAATTGTAACAGCTAAAACCCTGAAAAAAGGTAGCCATAAGGCAGAATTGACTTGATGATGCATATTTGTTATTTTTTTTACAACAGAGGACTAAAATAACATGAATCATAAATTATTGCAATTAAATGTAACATACATTCAAGAGCAGTCAGCAAACAAATGTGACTTAGTCCAACTTAGAGTACAACTACGTTGACAAATAATGCTGGAAATGCTCTAGGACTGGAAGCATTTCAGAATCACACTGTTTTCTGTTGGCTAGATGATATACAAGTTAATGCAAATCAATCCAGAGTTCTCCCCTCCTAATCCATTCCCCCCCCTCCATAGTTGGAACATCTACTTTTTTTGGAATCAAATGCATTCACTTTGGTTCAGATGGTGTCATTGCTTGAACCAATTTGGATGGACCTGCACCTGTTTTATTTGAAGCCATTGTACTTAATTACAGCAGCCATGAGAAAAGCAGGGCAACGGGAATACAGGCTGTTGTTTGAATCCTCTCTGCAAAGTGCCTAGGTCTGCTTTCCCTTCCTATTCTTGTTCTTGTTCTTTTTCAGGCTTGCTGCCTAGTGCTAGGGCAGCCAGGTGAGGAAGAAAAAGAGTAAAGTTTTGGCATAGAGAAAGGATGAATTTATCAATGAGCCATCTTTCCAGGTTGTTAAGGTAGCTCTGTTCTTCTAAGCATTATTGCAGATCTAGAGGACCAAAGCAGAGCTGCCTTAACAAGCTGCAAACAAGGCTTTTGAGTGCCAATCCTGTCCCTGCTCTCTGCTAAGGACTGTCTGATCAGCTGAAGTGCATTAACCCAGGAAAATACAACCTCCCAGGTGCAACTTCAAATCAGATCCATTTGTATTTTTCCACTATTTAGCCACATCCTAAGTCTAAGAAGTGTATGGTCTAATTTTTATTAATAAATCCTAAATTTTAAGACCTAGCTTTACCAATCTATAATCAGGGGAAAGGTACAAATTACGAGAGTAACAAGAGATAAACACGAGTAAATTTAATTCCACACATATGCCTTTCAGATATAATACCTAGTCAGAAGGAAAAACATTTCCAGGACATGCTCCCATGTGGATAGAGGTTGTATTCCAATGGTACAATCATATAGGCAAGCCTGAGTAGATTATTTTTTATATTACATGGCAGTATGTCACAAAAATTTTTGCCTGTTTCCCCGAAAATAAAACCTAACCTGAAAATAAGCCCTAGTAGGATTTTTCAGGATGCTCATAATATAGGCCCTACTGCAAAATTAAGCCCCAGTTAAGGGAAACCTTGCCCTCTACTATTGTGCAGCAACCAGAAGATGACATGACTGTATTTGAATAAATGTAGATTGTTGTACATGAAAAAAAATAAAACTTCCCCTGAAAATAAGCCCTAGTGCATTTTTGGAGCAAAAATTAATATAAGACCCTGTCTTATTTCCGGGGAAACAGGGTACTACATGGTGAACATTGGATCTGAAAGCAATATTAGTGTAAAACATGGACTTCAGGTATTCAGCCCAATGCCATGTAGCCTCTGCTTCCATCTCTGTATTAGATTATACTCCATAGGGCTGGTAGGTCACAATCCAAAACTGTGTCACACATCAACCTAATAAATTGGAACCACAGTTTTTCTCCCAATTATAAAATAGATGCTAGTCAGGAAGGAAAGATGATGGGGGGCGGAGTGTGAAGAGGGGTCAATAAACAAATCTTCATGTACTCCTGCACTGGACTTCATATTGCACAAGAGAAATACTACCAGGTAAAATGAGACTATAGCCAAAACATTTAAAACACCATAAGACATCTCAACATTCAATAAATGCAACATTCCTTGAACTCATGCTTGTTGTTTAAAAGCCTGCCTAAAAGGAAGGTCTTTGCCTGACAACAGAAGGCTAAGAGAGGAGGCCAGCTTCTTAAGAGATTGCCTGCTTCAGCCAGGGAGCAGCTACTGAAAAAAAACTCACTCTTGTGTCCTCAAGGAACAAGAGCGGGAAACTGAGATAAAGACCTTCCCAGAAGACCTTAAAAGCCATGGAGCCTCATATATGTTCCTTCAGATAGCCTCAACCCAAGCAGGCTACCTATAAAGCTTTATAGGTAATAACCAGAATTTTGAGTTGGGTCCAGAAACAGACTGGCAGCCAGTGCAACTGTTGTAATGGAGCAGTTATATGCTTCTTTAACCAGTAGAAGTCAGCAATCTGGCTACAACATTTTGAACCAGCTAAAGTTTCTAGTCTTCAAAGTTAGTCCTATTTGGAGTGCATTGCACTAATCCAGATGGGAAGTAACTAAGGCATGTGTCACCATAACCATAGATAATAGCTAGTGCACAAATTTAACTGTGCAAATGCCCTCCTGACCACTGCTGAGATCTGTGCATTCAGGCTCAGAGATTAATCTGGGAGGATACCCAACTGTGGACCTGCCATTTCAGGGGGACTCCAATGCCACCCAGCACAGATTGAATCCCTATCTTCTGTTCAGCCATTTAATTGATCGCTGTCTTGTCTAGATTAAGTTTCAGTTTGTTTGCTTTCAACCAGTCCATTAAGGACAACAGATCTCTGGTGTAGACCCAGAGCAACATCCTTGGAATCGGACGGAAAGGAGAAATAGAACTGGGTGTTAGCAGCATACTCCAGACAACCTCTCCCAGTGGTTTAATATATATATTAAATAGCATAGAGGACAGAACTGAATGTCTGAAAACTCTACAAGCCAAAGCCAAAACAATGCTATCTTGACACCACCTTCTAAGTTCAGTCCTCCAGGAAGAAGTGGAACCACTGTAAAACAGTACTTCCAAGTCCCATCTGAGAAAGGCCACCTAAAAGGATAACATAGTCAATGGTATCAAAAGCCACTGAGAGGTCCAGCAGAACCAACAGGAAAACACTCCTGCTGTCCAGCTCCCTGCATAGATCATCCCCTCAGGTGACCAAAGCCATTTCCATTTCATAATGAGGACTGAACACAGACTAAAATGGACCTAAATAATCTGTTTCATCCACAAACCTCAGGAGCTGAGAAGCCACCACATACTTCAATACCTTGTCTGAAAGTGGAAGCCACAATTATTTGAGGTATCTCCGCTCTAACACATTTTACAGTACCCATATTATAAGACCCTCAAAGCCAACTTCTCCTTGCCCCACACACATCACTTTCCCCTCCTTGTCAACTTGAAAGTTGTTGAAAAGCAAACAATTGGCTAACAGTGTAGCCATGAAGCATCTACTCTGGATATATTGAAAGGAAATCCTTTAGAGCATTCTGGCCTTTTGTTCACAGCCATTTGCACTGGCATTAGTTTAAAGGTGGTTTTTTTTTGTTTGTTTTTTGGTGGTGGAGGGGTTAGTTCCTCAGCAAGAACTGAACATTTAGCTTCCCAGCTGGACTGCAAAAAGAAAAGGTGAGTTTACTACAGTGACTTAAGTAGAAGGGACTCACACAAAACTGGTTTTCAATGGAACACCACACAGTTCTTCGATAGAATGCTATATGCTTAGAGGGCCAGTGTAGTGATAGATTGATGGAATGCAATAGATTGATGGAGATCTGCACTGAAATCCCCACTTGGCCATGGGAACTCACTGGGACATGAGAGGGGTAAGATCATTCCTTACATACTTCACATGCCCTGAAAACTCTGTTACAGTCTTCTTAAGTTACCATAGTTTTCCATATAAAAGATGCCCCCATGTATAAGAAGCCCCCACTTTTCTAACCCAAAATTAAATCAATATTTTAAACATAAAACAACACATTTTATTTAGTAATTAAGTAACATTTACATACCCTACTGTAATATTATGCATCACACTTTAACTTTATTCAGCCTCTGGGTTCAGAACGCTTCTGAGCACCGCCTACCTGCTCCACCTCCAATGAGGTGTGTTCCAATTGGTTTATTCAGCATCAGCTGATATTAGTTACTTAAGGCTCGTGATTGGAGGAAACTATGTCTCCTGACTATAGGAAGCGAAGCCTCCTGATTGGAGGCAACTAAGCATTGTGATTGAAGGAAGCCTGTTTACAGAGGCAGGGTATGGGCCATTCTGTTCTCTTCTTAGCTTGACCCTCAATTTTTAGTCTAACAATTTTAGGAAAAAAATACGGTCCTATGCATGGAAAAATATGGTGGATGCGACTCAATGGCACATAACAGCAACAGGTAGAAGGTATTCACATGGGACCACTTGTTCACAGGAACTCCATAAATTGCTCAGTTCAATGCACAGTAAGACCTAGATAAATTAGATCATGGAAAGAATTCAATGTAACTGATTTCTTCAGGAGAGGGAGGCATGTGAAGCCATACCTTGCAGTGTACTGAACATACATTACAGGCCTGTGATTGAGCTAGCCATGTGACTGACCCAGGAAGAATACTCACAAACATTCTGTTATCTTACTCAGGCAATAGAGTTACTGTTGATCATGAGCGGACAGTTTCCAGTGAATTGTATTTCCAACATATTGTAACTGCTAATCCATTAGCAATTTGGAAATTCTGTTATTTACTGTAAATCTGGCATGCCTATTTCCCTCAACATGGCAGCAAGTAAAAAACGAATTGGTGCATAGCTTGTATGACAGAATGAATCATGAATTGTACCTCACCTGTTACAAAATAACTAATGCTTCTTCTGTCGCTTCCCACTTTATTCGAGGCTATGCAGCTATAGCTTCCAGATGACCTGGATTCAGCCACAACTAATATGCTAGCAGTCTGCAAAAGGAGGAATAGTATTAGTTCTTATAAAACTAAAACAATTGCTTGTCGTTGATTCTTCTAAATATTGACACCTATATGATTTGGTTGTTCTATTCCATCAGTGAAAGTCATAACATCAACCAGGGTGTTGACAGCACGTGAGACCATGGAAATAATAGAAAAAGAATAGAAAAGCAACTTTATTAGAGGCTACATGAATTATGAGGGCCGTTACATATTGAAGTCATTAGGTTTTGAGTATGTGGATTAGGATTTAACATTGATTTATTTCATACTCATGATGCCCTAATGACAGGTTGGAATAAGTGAGCACATTGACCACTGCCCTGCCACCTGCCCAGAAGTCAGGCAAAGGAACTGGCAAGGATATTGTTAGAATATTAAACCCAGAGTTTTCTTCTTTTTGCATTTTTGCTTGATACTCAATACATTTGCAAAGAAATATTTTTGATAGTAGGTTTTATTTGAGGCAATTTTCACATGGAAGGGTGATAAGATTTGAAGCACTGAATTTTTAAGACATATGCTTTTGTTTTATACAATTATGTATATATAATTGTATAAAATATTATGTATATTATATAACAATTATGGGAAAAGAGTTACTATGGTCATCCTAATTCCTTTTTAACCAAAAGTCATCCATAAAAAGTCCCTAGGCTTATTTTATTGTTAATATTCAGTGTATAGGAAAAAAAACTGTTCAGAAATCTCACTCTTGTTTTGAAAACTCGATTACAAAGAAAAAATGCCAGGTTTTGTGACTGACCACATAGAAGTAGCAACAACAGAAGGAGTTATTACTTTTTTTAAAAAAAACACCTACAATTGTAAACACAAAGAATTCTCCATTTGTGTTTTGATTTTCTGGAATTCCCCCCTTTTTAAAAAAAAAACAACCAAACTTCAGTATGCCAAAATTGTAATATGTATCCCAGAATTTTAAATGGAGATTCTATTATAAGTCAGTATTTCCAGTTGGTATTTCTTTTCATCAGAAAGATGTTGATTTAACATTTCAACCACTTTCCTTCTGTCATCTCAAAACACAGAGGAGGAAGCAACAAACAAAAAAACAAAACTCTCAGCAGCAACTAAACACATCTTGTGTATAAAACACACACAAAAAACCACTGTGTCTATACAGTGATTATTCAATATACTTCAGCATGATAAGATTTTTATTACCTATAATTTAGAGGAGTCATATTAGTTTACAACAGCAAAAAGACAAATAAATATTTGAAAAAACACTGCATACTAGAATTATATAGGTCTGTTGTGCTATAAGCAAAGTATCCACAAAAATCTAAATCTAATATACTGAAAAACTACAAATATCAGGGAAGTCATAGACAGTTGCTGCTGTTGCTGCTGTTGCTTTGACTTACATGCCACTTCATAATATTAGAGCACTCTAGTAGGCAGTTTATAAAATAATTATGCAAGGAACACATTGTTCAAAAGATTGATGTCATTTTCGCTTATTCCCAGTAATTTTTCACACAGAAATTCCAAGCGTGTTTTAATATGTGAGGATTACACTGCTTCTGTACCACTAATATGTAACCAATGTTACTACAAAAAAGGTGTATTTGTTTTTTCTTCTGCCTGCCAGCAATAATATTCAGACTTCATACAAAGAGTCTCAACGTTCCTTTATATTCTTTTGCATTAACAATGGTTTCAACCAGTCCTGTAATTATTTGAAAAGCTAAACTACTGAGTCACTTCTGATCAAAGCAAAAATTGTTAGAAACACCAAACATTTTCAGCCACCACCACCCATTTACGTCAATGACTTCTAGGGAGTTTGAGAATACTAAAGGCAATGTATGTATGTATGTATGTATGTATGTATGTATGTATGTATGTATGTATGTATGTATGTATGTATGTATGTATGTATGTATGTATATGTATGTATGTATGTATGTATCTACGTACGTACGTACATACGTACGTACGTACATGCACACCACCCATTTAGTGGCAAGCCACTACTCTCGGCAGTTCACAATGAGTAAAAGAACTCCCACCCTCAACCAAAGGCAACCATCTAATTCCAACAAAAGGAAATACACATGCATCCCGAGGGTGAGGGCTAAAAGAAGAGTTTAAACATAATGGGGCAAGAATTCTACTGCAGGGGGAGAACATTCTTTAATGTCCCTCTTTAAAGAGTTCAGTTTTAACAAGCTTTCTAAAGGTTAGGAAGGAAGGGGACAGGCATAAGTCTACTGGCAAAGCACTCCAAAGTGTTACACCCACCACTGAGTATACCCAGTTCCTAGTTGTCATTTTTTTGGGGTCTCTCCCAAGGTGTCCACCTGCAGCAACAAAGCCTGGAAGGAGTGGGTTTCATGGATAGAAGATCTTTAGGAGAGCAACTCTGACAGCTCTCAAGATCTCAAACTGTTACGGGCCTTATAAGTCAGGATTAGCACTTTGAATTTGGCACAGAAGCAAATTGGGGGCCAATGCAGGCATGCCAAGATTCAACCCTCATTCAGAACAATTTAAAAATATATCTTAAAAGACAGATAAGTTCTTCATTAAAACCCCTTCCTCAGCAACTACCTAGGTATTATAAGCACACTTTAAAAAAGGAATAGCGGGAAGTTCCACAACTTGGAAGGAGCCCCTAGAAAGACCTTCTCTCATCTCTGCAACAAACATGCCTGCAAAGGGCAATGAGACCTTCAGATGTGGGGTGAAGTCTATTTACCTAACATTGTACCTTTTAACAAATGTACTCAAAAGCAAGTTATGTGAAAAATGCTTTCAGAAAGCAAGGAAAGTACACAACATTCTGAAATGGTGTGGTTTGGCAACCAACATTGTTTGGTAAAGCTTGCAACAATGATGGGATTTTTATACTACTTAGTACTTTACCCACTCTGACACATAACATTTTGTCCTGTCCATTCCCCGATAGTATCAAAATGAGAATTTAAGCATCCAAAGATCCATCCACTGCTAATTGTTAACAGCCTCTTCAGATTACTTCAGGCAGATTCTTTGAGATGAGTCACTGAAGATGCACTGTTACATGGGGCTGATCTGCTAGCAATTATTTTCATGGCTAGTATGACCAATTTTTACATTACCCACAAAAGCACAGTGATCATAAGGCTGCACCAGAAATACTGTGGGGTTTGATTTTAAATAGCTGAAACTGGAATCATTAGAAGTCATATGCAGTTTGGACAGTGAATTTCAACACTCCGTTTTGACAAAGTGTCATCCAGTTTTAACACCAGGTTATGGATGTTCACAAGAGAACTACTTTTTCATGCAAAATATAGTACCTTATTTTTCCCCTCTATTATTGCTGTTCTCTGTGTGATGCTTTTGATTCTGTTTCCAGTAGAGTTCCCAGACTTGAGGATGACAGATTTCTCTAGATTGGAGCAAAAATCATACCTGCAAAAGAACAAATAAACGTGAAGCAACATCTTGTATAATAGAGCATCAAGGATATGGATTTCCTGTGACAGACTATGTAAAGACATCCTAGCTAGGTGTCCAACATACAAACAACATCCATTGCAAATTATGTATAGGACTGTAAAACTTGTATTAAGACTCAGATTCTCATGATCAGACATGCAATATACATTTTTGTCAGATCAAGGCCTGATAAACACAGTTGGGGTTACTGTCCAGTACAAATGCATATCACTTTGCTTTACAACAATGAGAGAACTTCAATACAGCGGTGCATAGATTTTGCTGGACTGCAACCCCTGTAGGCCCTCACCATCGCTTACAAGGACTGAAGGGAGTTGTAGTCCAACATATCTGGAGGGCCGCAATTATCCACCCTTGAACTAAAACGTAATGTTCAGAGTGTGAATTTTATCTTTCACATATCTGAACACACTGAAGAGAAGTGCAATATGGGGATTACTTTAAGACACATGCTAGAGTTGGGATAAAATCTCTCTTATTATTAAAAACATGTACATTTAGGCCAAAATGTCCTTTTTAAAAGCTTTATGAGGATAGTAGGGAGGAGAGTGTGAAAAAGTTATATCATCAGTTACTTAAATAGCCAAGTAAGGAGAAAGAGAAATCCTGTTCATATTACATAGTGGACTAGTTCTCAACAAAAGTGTTCAGAAGTAACCTTAATAGAACTAATTCTCCCCCTAAAACTTAATTTGATGCACATGGAAGAAAACTCTTTGGAATGCTTGCTCCACTGCCTCTCTCACTCATCACATTCCTTTTGGAGATTCTTGTTTTTGTTCCACAATTAAGTGTTCAGTTACAATTTGAATTATAGACTTTTGACTGTTGACAAAATCTCTTCTCAAAACATGGGCTAGCATACATTATGTGTCCTAAAATCAAATGAACTAAATTCCATCATTAGTAAGTTATGTTTCTGTGTAAATCGCTCTCTTTAGCAACATGGGATTTAAAACCACAAGCTTTTGCTGAGATAGCTGGCAGTGATCACAGACCAAATAAGCATCAGTCCCTTCCTGGGGATTTAATTTTCTCAATTGTTGATATCATTGAATAAGAACAACATTTTATTGTTTTGGGCCACATAAAAGATAAACACTACATTAACTCATTTGAAAGCTATTTAAACTTTTAAAAGTTAGGGTTTTTTTGGAAGGTCAATGATAACTTAGCAATGCAAGTCTTGCCATGTTCGTAGTTTCTAACCATCAAATCTAAAAATGAGGGACTGTATTTCAGTTGTGAAGCACATTGTGTGTAAACTGATCACAGTTCAATCTCTGAAATCTCCAGGTACGGCTAGGAAAGGATGCTGCTTGGAAATATATAAGGCTGCAGCTAGTCAGTATCCACAATGGCACTTCCAGAGGGAACAGCTGCATCTCTTTAAGTTCTCTGTTAAGCACTTACTTTAATGGAGGTCCCTCTGACATCCAGATAACATTCCCCTTGTCTCAATTTGTTCATTGTTTATGTGATTTTCCACACATTTTATTCCTCCCAAACCCCTTGGCTTATTTTTTTTCCATTGATGTGGGGAATGATCTCACTCTGGAGTAGCAGGGATATCACAGCACCACAAGGGAGAAGAAGGTGAGGAGAAGAGTAGGTGAATGAGGAGCACCAGTTTCTTCTTTTTGTATCTTGAAGGAGAAAAGCCTTTTCTGCTTGTTCTCTATACGTATTCCCTTCTCTTTTTTGTCTTGCCTTTGGCCTTCATCATTTCACCTAGTTGGCCCCTCCTGGCCTCCTGCAGGCTGAATCACCAATGGCAGCTGAGTAGAGGTTGGAGTGCATTTTCTGTTCTCCAACTCTGCTTCCCCCAACTTTGAGTTCCCAACTTTAAAAAAAAAAAACATTGCAACCCTCCTTGGAAGTAACAGCTGTCTATGCAGTGTCTTTACTAGCTGCTACCACATGTCCTGCCTTCCTTATAAATGAGTGTTCCCCAACCTTGGGCCTCCAGATGTTCTTGGACTTCAACTCCCAGAAATTCTGGCCAGCAGAGGTAGTGGTGAAGGCTTCTGGGAGTTGTTGTCCAAAACCATCTGGGGGCCCAAGGTTGGGGACCACTGTTATAAATGATCCTAGCCCTGTGGTGCCTGCATCTAAAGTCAGGGGGAATGGGAAGGAAAGTGAAGCAATGCATTTGGAAGGAGAAATGAAAACAAGAGAAAATAAGTGACAATGAGCACAATTCAGGCTGGAAAAAAAAGAAGCAAAGCAAAGTGTGATGGGTGGCATTTCTGAAAGACTGCAATAATGAACTAGATAGACAAATGATCTGATACAGTATAAAGCAACTTCCTATGTTCCTAAGGTGCCGAGCTTTTTCTGTGAATAATTAGGGCTGTGAGAAAATGTCAGAAGCGTTCAAAATCTGACAGATCCTTTCCTTTATCACTGGAGCTATGCATTGTGCAGCAATGGACATTGGAAAGGGCACTCGTTGCAATCCACAAAGCACATCTCTTGAGCAATCTCCATTTTAAAAGAAAGGAACTCTTCATACAAGTTCTGATGCCATAAAGTTCTGATGCAAGAAAACTGGACAGTAAGGAAGCTTACAGGGGGAAAAAAATTGAATTATTTGAAGTGAGGTGCTGGAAGAGAGCTTTGAGGATAGCCTGGACTACCAGAAAGATGAACAAGTGGGTCCTAGATCAAATCAAGCCTGAACGATCTTTGGAGGCAAAAATTTTGAAGTTGACGCTGTCCTACTTTGGACACATCATGAGATGGCAAGTTTCTCCAGAAAAGACAATCATGGTGGGAAAGGTTGAAGGCAGCAGGAAAAGAGGAAGATCACATATGAGATGGATTGACTTTCTCAAGGAACTATAGACTTGAATTTGCAAGAGCTGCACAAGACTGTTGAGGACAGGACCTTTTGGAGATCATTCATTCATAGGGTCACTATAAGTTGTGGGTGACTTGATGGCACATAACAACAATGGCAAATACTTGAAAGGCTGTCACAGCATGATGTGTGTATGGGGCTGCATCCATTATTTCACTTATGGCAGAATTTTCCTTACTCTCTTCCTCTTTCCCTTTCAGCACTGTTTTTAGTTCTCTAAAGTTCCTTTAGGAAGTAGGCATATATAGATAAAAGCTCAGCACTCCTTACAGTGTGGAAAGTCGATTATAATCGCACCTATATTTTATAAAAGCAATTAAAGCAAAAATAGGGCAGCAATAGCTAGCCAAATGGTCTGACTATCAGAATATAGGTTAATGTATTCAAGAAGGCTAAAAATGCTACAAAGAACATCATTAATGCATTGAAAAATTGAGCATGTACTGTTACCAAATAAGAAATGCTGAGGTAATTGTCAAAAGCTCCTGAAACTGCCATGTATGAATGCTTGAACGTTGTAAACAGTCTCCACTCAGAGGCAATAACTCACAATACTCTTATCAATTGAACCATTTCATAGGCATCCTTCAGTCTCGAGAGACTATGGTAACATGCTCTGAATCGAGGAGTGTCCTCTCCAGAGCATGAAGCCCAGGCTTATGCAAATCTAATTGGCTTTTCTATTTACCATATTAAGGCCAGATACAAAATTTGAGAATTACGGCGCGCGGTCCTGGGACATGCTCTTTTACAGCAGGAAGTCCCACCCCTAGGCCCCACCCCCAGGCCATGTGGTCAGGAGACAAAAGGAAAGCCCAGGAAAAAAAAACTCAGCATGGCATCCATGCAAACAGACCATATTTCACCAATAAAAGGAAACTGTGAAGAACATTACTGAATGGGCTGAATAATTTGAATAATTGCCCTAGAGACCAACTCACAAAAGTTAACTGCAATTCCATTCTGTTTCAAAATAAATTCACTGTGTGGGACTGAGAGTTGTAGTTTGATAAATCTAAGTCGAAATGCATAAAAATATGTAACTAGCAACGCGCCCTTCTCTCCCCCTCCCCCTCTCTCTCTCTCTCTCTCTCTCTCTCTCTCTCTCTCACACACACACACACACACACACACACACACACACACACACTCATAAGCCATCTCAGGTGTTGAATTCTCACCTGAATAAGACAGAACTGTATAATATATTAAGAAAGGTAAAAGGAATAACAATGTTCTTTAAATAGGGAAAAAATAGGAAAGATATACAGTTATGCAAAAAAGAAAGCACACCCTCTTTGAATACGATGGTTTTACGTATCAGGACATAATAAAAATCATCTGATCATTAGTAGGTCTGAAAATTAGATAAATACAACCTCAGATGAACAACAACATATGACATACTATATTGTGTCATGATTAATTATACGAAAATAAAGCCAAAAAATAAGAAGCCATGTGTGAAAAACTAAGTACATTTTTACTGCATCCCTAGGAATTAAAAGGCTAAGTAGCACCCAGGTGCTGCTAACCAAACACTCTTGAATAATTGATCATCAGCAAGTGTGACCACTTCTATAAAAGCTGATGTTTTAGCACTTTGCTGGTCTGGAGCATTCAGGTGTGTGTTAACACAATGCCAAGGAGGAAACACATCAGCAATGACCAAAGAGAAGCTATTGTTGCTGCCAATTGATCTGGGAAAGGGTTATAATGTCATTTCCAAACAATTTAGAGTCTGCGGTGAGGAAGATTATTCACAAGTGGAAAACATTCAAGACAGTTGCCAATCTTCTCAGGAGTGGATAAACGTTCAAGCAAATTCTCCCCATGGTCAGACGATGCAATGCTCAGAGAAATTGCAAAAAAACCCCGAAGAGTTACATCTCAGACTCTACAGGCCTCAGTTAGCATGTTAAATGCTAATGTTCATGACAGTAAAATTATAAAGAGATTGAACAAGTATGGTTTGTTTGGATAGTGTGCCAAGAGAAAGCCTCTTCTCTCTAAAAAGAACATGGCAGCATAGCTTAGGTATGCAAAGTTACATTTGGACAAAGCAAAGACTTCTGGAGCAATGTCTTTT